ACCACCTTAGATGGAGGTCGGGGTGGAGCCATCCAGTCAGAGGGAGAGGCTACTTTGAAGGTGCAAATTCCAGGGCTGGCATGATGTGCTGTCCTGTGAGAGAGGCAGGGTGTCGCACCTGTTAAAGCCTCAGGCTCTCTCCAGGTGGCATCATGAAACACCACATGTTTCAGTGAGCAGTAGGGAAGGTGTAGCCTTTCTCCACTCCAGTATCTTCCCATGATGGTCCTGATCACATGGAGTCTGAATCACATGTGCTGCCTAACCAGGCCTGAGCTTGGGTTTGGGCTGACTCATCCACATCTGTTGCTTTGAGATCTTAGGCAAATAAGTACCTTTCTCAACCCAGGTGTGGAGGCAATCCTAGTGAACTTGTGAGTTTGAGGCATCCCAATCCCATTGGGTCATAGCTTAATGGCAGAAAGGGAGGAAGTCCTTAGCAACTGACCTTATCTTTCTCCCTAAACTCTCACCTCCAATCCTGATTTTCCTATCATTGAGGACATCACCATCCTCCTAGTCCTGTAGGCTCTCAACCAAGGTGTCATCCAGCCTTCTTCCTCTCTCTCAGCCCCCATACCCAATCTGTTGTGAAGTGCAAATTCTACCTTTGGAACATCTCCCCAGTACATCCCTTTCTCTCCTCTGACACTGCCCCTACTCTGGTATAGGCCTTCACCTCACACCTGGACTATTGCAGCAGCTGCTGGTGGGTCCACCTGCCTCAGGTCTCTCCCCACTGCAGTCCATCCCCCATTCGGCCACTATAGTGATCTTCCTAAAGCTCAGGTCTGACCACATCACGCACACACGCGCATGCATAAAAATACACATACACTATCCAACAAAGCCCAATGGCTCCCTATGGCCTCCAGGATCAAATATAAAATGCTCTGTTTGGGGTTCAAAGCCCTTCCTAACCAACCCCCTCCTCCCTTTCCAGTCTTCTTATGCCCCCTCTATGTGCTGTGTCATCCAGTGACCCTGACCTCCTGCCTGCTCCTCTCACAAGACTGTGCTCTCCTGATGCTGGGCATTTCCTCTGGCTTCCCCCCCTGCCTGGGATGCTCTCACCTACCTCATCTCTGTCTCTTCTTGCCCACCCTAGCTTTGTTCAAATCCCAGCTAACATCCCACCTTCTACATTCCTACCTGTCTTTCACAATGCCCCCTCATGTCAGTGCCTGCCCTCTGAGAGTATTTGTTTACCCTGTACATAGCTTACTTGCACATAGTTCTTTGCATATCACCTAGCACATAGTAGGTGCTTCATGTTTGTTGATTGACTATTGATCAGAGTTCTCAAGTGTTTCAAATTTGTTTTTCTTTGTAATATTGCTGCCTTTGAACACATTTTCCTCTCTGCTCACTTCACACTATATCAGTTTTAACATACTAACTGTTCTCTAAAATTGTCTCTTTAGTAATTTCTTACGGCCCAATTACACTCATATATGACAATTTGTTCAGCCCTTTCCCCCAACTGTCTGAGATAATCTAAGGCATCCCCTTAGATCCTAGTTCTTTCTTTTGCTTTTTTAATTCTCCCTTCAGAATCAGAAAGTTTATTTTGTTTATGACTATTTCCTCCCTGTGAGAGAAGGTGAATTTTCATTAATTGAAAAATAATTAATTTTAAAACAAGAACAGCCCTCTAATCCCACCAAGGTCCTGAGTCCACGCTTTGGGTCATAAGCCCCAGGTCCAAAGTTCCTCCAAAATCTTTGCCTCTTCCCTTCAGGTTCTGCCACTGATGTGTGCATGTGTCAGATACCCTCTGGAAAATGTTGTCTTTGCTCCTCTGTCCACTGAAAGGAGGAATTTTGCATCTCTAAAACTTTGGGGTGTGAATGGATTCTGTGTCAGGGAGGGCATGTAAGCACTTGGCAGATTTTTTTTCAGTTTTCTTATTCAGTCAACATATTCTTTGTTTGTTAATGCTATGCCACCAAAGTAAGATTCTATGGTCTGATATGGTCTGACTTTTTTGTGCAGTTTGCTCATGATCCTGGCCAATTACTTGACTTTTAAACTCTTTGTTAAGGTAGGGGTCTGCTTCCAGTGTGGAGGGTGTACTGTCCCAAGCTTCAGGGGTTTTGTGCAGCTGTTTTCAGAGGTACTTCTAAGGTCCTGTAAATTTTCAGTTCTTCCAAGGTAGTATGATCTAAGGAGAGGTGTTTACTCCTTTCCTGGTCTGTGCTCTGGTCTATGATGACCACAAGCACTCTCTTCTGCCTTGGAACTGTAAGGGGGCTTCCCTCTCCACCGTTGCCACAAGCTCCACCACACCAGCACTCCTTCTTGCCCCAGGACCGCCACCCAGCACTTTGACCCAGATCCAAACACAGGAGAAGCAAGAAAATCCTGCCTCAGCACCAGTGAAGAGATCCCTGAAATTCCTCTCTGATCAGCCACTTGATCCCCCCACCGTCTATGGGCCGAGAACTCTGGAAGAAGCTGCTACCATCGTGGCCACTGCCCTGGGGCTGTGCTAGGACCAGGGCTGGACTGCACTCCTCTCACTCAGGTCCAACAGACCTTTTCCACTGACCTTCTGAATTGTCTTTGGCGTTTGTGAGTTGAGAAGTCTGGAAACTGCCACAGCTACCCTTGATTCAGTCCTCTGAGGCCTGCTCTGGGTTTGCTTGGCCTGGTCTTTGCCAGTGTTGCCCATGCTGAACTGTGCTGCTCTCCTAGGCCAGCACAACACTCCTTTCCTGTCTACCTTTCAGGTTGTCTTGGGCTGGAAATTTGTTTCACTCTTTTTGTGGGTTCTGCTGCTCTAGAATTTGTTTGGAGTCATTTTTACAGATATTTGGAGGGGTTTGGGGGAGAGCTCGAGCAAGTCACTACTTTTACTGAGCCATCTTGGCCCCGCCCCCACTTCCTTGGCTTCTAAGTCCCAGCTAAAATGTCATCTTTCGAGATTTCTTTTCTGATGCCTCTTAATGGCAGGGCCGTCCTTTTATTGACTGATTTCTAATGTATCCTGTATAGATCTTGTTTGTACATAGTTGTTGGAATGTTGTCTCCATTAGACTGTGAGCTCCTTGAGGGCAGGGCTTTTTCCCCCAACTTTCTTTGTATCCCCAGCACTTTGCACAGTGCCTGACATACAGGTGGTGCTTAATATATGCTTGTTGCCTTGCCTTGCCTTACCAACAAGCCTAAGTGCATAACTCAGACTGGGATAAACTATCTCTTGCCTCTTTCCCTCCTTAGGCTTCCCAACCAGATGACCGCAAGGTTAGAGCTCCAACGCTGCCAAGCTTACCTCAGGTCATAGCAGGTTGGGCAGCTGAGGGCTGTGCTGGCAGAAACCATTCACCTTAAACCTCCTAATCACCTGTCTTCTTCAGGGGACCTCACTGCTTCTCTACCTAGACTAATTGGTCAGCAGTTAGCATACTTCCTCCTACTCCCACTCTCTTCAATATTGTCATACTAGACCTCCTAATGTGGAAAGCCGTCTCCTTCCCCAACACCTGCTCCTTTATTCCCACATTCCTCTCCCAAACCTACCCCACTAGTGCTCTGCTCCACATTGGCCATTCCCCCCCACTGTGCTCTCTGGAGTATCTGCTCCATAATGAACAAACTTCTTTTCATCCAGAAACTCTTTCTTTCTTCCTTCCTTCCTCCTCCCATCTCCTGGCCCTGAGACCAGGCTCTTTCCTGATGACATTGGTTTCCTTGCCACTCTTTCCAGTACAAGTGACATTTCTACTCCTTCTGCTGACTTACCAACCATTGTGACAGGAATAGAACACCCTTTGTTCCCCATTGCCACTTTTAGTTATTCCCTCTATCAACATCCTTCAGCAACTGCTCCTCTTCTAAGATTCATTCAATCAAAATTGATCACCCAGGTGAGATTCTAGTGTCTATCATCTACCAACCCCTGAGACACTCTCCCTCCTTTTTCAGTTCAGTACCTGGCTCACAGTTTTCCTCTCTACCCCAACCCCTGCTCTCATTCTAGAAGACATCAAAATACATGTTGATGGTCCTTTAAATATCCTTATTCCAATCTACTCAACTCCCATGACTTACTCTTACTTCCAATCAGTTGCCAAATCTTGCTACTGCTTTCTCTACATCTCAAGGGTCCATCCTTTTCTCCCACATAGCCAAACCCATAATGCAGGCCCTTATCACTTCTCATCTAGACTACTGTAACAGCCTTCTACCTGGTCTCCCTACCTCAAGGGGCTCCTATACCAAACCATCCTTCACTCAGCTGCTGAAGTGATTTTCCTAAAGGGCAGGTCTGATCCTATCATTCCCCCTCCCTATACCCCCTTTCCCAAGATCAAATAGAAAGCATTCAGTTTGGCACTTAAGAGCTGGACCCTTCCAACTCTTCCAGTATTCTTATGCTACCCTGCCCTCCATGCACTCTACAACAAAGATACACTGGTCTACCAGCTGTCCCTTAAACATGACACTCCATTGCCTGCTTCCCATTTCTGTACCTTGGCAGTGACTGTCCCCTATATCTAGAATGTTCTGCTTCCTCACCTCTGCCTCTTAGTTTTCCTAGCCTCCTTCCAAACTAATCTCAAATTCAACTTCTAAAAGAGCCCTTTTTTGTATCCCCTCCCAGCTGCTAATGCCTCCCCTCTGAGAATATCTTGCAGCTACTTTATATTTCTCTTGTATTTTCTGAGTTATATATAATGTTGTCTCCATCATTAGAATGTAAGCTTCTTGAGGGCAAGACTTGTTTTTACTTTTTCTTTCTATTGCAGCTGTTTATTACAGTGCCTGGACCATACTAAGTGCTTAATCAATATTTGTCAATTTGCTTGATCTTAGCAAAATTACCCCTGGCAAGAAAACCATATATTGGCTTGCTAAAAGAGAAACTCTAAAATTCAATTTTCTGCTATGGTCTGGAGAGAGAGATATGCTATATCTCTTTAAGATATAAGAAATACTCAATACACGTGTTTATATTGCATTCATAACTTTATAACTGTAACATTTTTTCTTATATCTGCAGCAGCATCTGTCCTTCTATGGTTCAGCAAATAAATGAACAGGCTTCATTGGCTGGAGAGACCTATTTTTAAAAAAAGCAAATATTAGGCCACAAAAAATTGCAAGAGTCAAGGCTTGGCTAGGCACTGTAGGGCAGGACTCAAAAAGCAGGATTTGTCAAGATTAGTGCCTCACCTCCTGTGGGATTCAGGCAAGTACAGAGTAGGGAAGGGCATGGAAAGGGCCCTCAGCTACAGCAACCCAGACAATGCTAGTTTTCTGTATTTTACTTACTGGGAGACTATATGGGGGTGGGGAACAGACATAGGACCAGAAGGCTCACAAACAGCCAATGCAGACCTCTAATCAACAGCAGGTATACGTTCTCTTTGGGAATGCAAAGAGAACCCAGACTGCTTAGCTTAGTTTAGCCTATCAGTCATTCACAACTTACTGTCAATTACTTGATTTAAAATTAGTATCTAGCTGATTTCGGAGGGGAGGGGAGAGAAATAACAGGAGCTATTCACCAGCACAAGTCAGATTCCTACTCTCAAGCAGCCCTTCTCCTCCCTTGGTTCTCTCACGTCTATATTCTCAGCTGATTTGGAGACTGAAGACTCCTGGATCTGCTACTTTCCACCTGGCACAATTTGGCCAAATCACTTCCCTAGGATTGGCTCCCCAAAGAAAAGGCCATACTAGATGATTCCTAAAGTCTCCTCCACCTGCAACTCTACAATTGTTAGTATGGGGAAACTTTCAGAGGACTTCTAGACCTTACCCCATATAAAGGGAGGAAAAGCTTCTCCTGCTTTCTCACTTGTTACTGTAATGTGTTCAGTGACATCTGCTGTTGCAGGTCACAACCCATCTACACCATTCCATTTTTTGGGGCCCTTATCCTTTCACAAAGGCTCTACACAAGATGGCAGAGTCCTTCCTCAATGCTCACTCTTGCTTGATCACCTAGGTAGAGCTGGAAGGAATCTGAGAGGCCATCAAGTTGTCCCCTGGGCAACTTGCAATTTTCTTCTGCTGAGGTCACAGTATTTTATGAGTCATGGCCTCATAACATCACCAGAAGAATTGCCCAGAATTCACTGGAAGGAAGCTAGGGAGCTGAATTGCTTTTGGAAAATTGTGTGTAAGGTTTTCAATAAGCAGGTTCTGCTTCCTGAAACAAAATCCCAGCTAGTTAACACCAACATTTCAGCCTGTGGGGGAAAAAAAACTAGAAAGTACAGAGTAGATTATCTGCATGAACTCAGTCTGCTTTTTGTATTTAAACATCCAATTATTGCAGATAAGTAAAACAGCTTACAAAACGTGCATAACTATAAGCAAAAGAATGTAGTCTTCTAGATATTTTTTTCAACAACAAACATGTATAATCTTGTTGAGTTAAATGAAACAAATTGAAATCTCCTTGTGGGATGAATTGTTCTGCATAGAATAAAGATCATAGTGTTGGAACAAGAAGGGACCTAAGAGATCAGCTAGTGGAGAATGAGGCCCTAGAGGGAAAATTACTTAATCCAAGTCCCACAACTAGAAAGGAGTTCAAATAGAATTTGAACCTAGGTCTTCAGACTCCACATTCAGCTCTCTTTCTGATGGAATCCTAAAAAAGCTGCCCCCAGCCCCAATATTCTAACAGCAGGCATGTCCTGATTTGACCACACAATCTAGCTTTAACCACACCACATGCCCCCAAATATGCCTCACTAAAACAGCAGGCATGTCCATGTGATGGAATCCTAGCCATTGCCTCTAGCCAGCCATTGCCCCCAGACCCAATATTCTAACTTCCTTATGGGCCTCACAGAAACAGCAAGTGTGTCCATGCACTCAACCAACCTCCATATAATCTCAGACAGGACCACCATAGCGAGCCAATCAAAAAGCAGCACCACCAGGATGCCTGAGCAGAATGTGGATCCCAAAACAATAAAAGGGACTTTCCCTAAATAGATGCCTTGCACAGTAATAGCAAAAAATGTCCATTAGGTGAACTTATAACATAGAGAGGCTTATTATAATGTCATTATTATACATACATGGCCCCCAAGTGGGCTTTTCTATGTACATTATGGATAATCACATGCACAGTTCCACGAAGGCTGGGACCCCTCCCCTATTGCCTAATCCCTTAACAAACCCCTCCTATATTTTAATATTCATATATTCTGTTTTGATGTAATTGCATCTTTTGCTCTATAAAAATCTCCTTGCTCTGATAAGCTGCTTGCATAAGTGAGCCCAGTCCCTTTCTGAGAGGAGTAATTCGCAATAAATGCCTTTTCTTGGCTTAGAGTTGGTCTGAGTCTGTGAATTCTTTCAAGATGAACCCACAACACACACCATGAAACCACAACATCATGAGCTGATAAGCCTGTTACAGGATTTGGACATATTTCTCACAAAAATTAACCCCAACTTAACAAAATTACACATCATTTGGGAGAAATGAATTCTTCCACTCCAGGTCACCCCTGAGTCTCGAAGGCATAACTTGGAGAGGTAGGAGCACCCTATCAACATATTGAGCAGATCACAATAAGATAGACTATAGTTCCAAACTACTAGTAAGCACAACCAGTGGCAGATCTAGTAAGCCCTATTTTTCAGTCATTTTGGTTTTACTACTCCCAGAGCATGAAAATCACTAGGCTTAAATATTTTTCTAAGAACCAAAACACATCTCTCTGACCAGTTACCACAATGCCCACTTCCACAACAAAAAAATGAACAAATTTACAGCTACCTAATCCTATTTGTACCTCTTAGACCTGACCTTCAGACTGCATGGCCTAGAGAGCAACTCAGATCCTGGGTGATATGACCTGTGAACCTAAAGAAGGATCAGATGACAAAAGGCTCCTAATATTCAATTCCTGACCCTTTATGCCCCTTGGAGAGGATAGTTGGGAGGTGCTTTGAAATAAGGTACATCTAGTCATTATATACCACTTACTGGAATGTATTTTATATACTTAACTTTAAATATTATTCCTATCCTGGGAATCTAAGTTTTCTTATTTCTTTAAAAATCACAGTGACTAGTTATTTAAAAGTAAAGAAGTTTCACTAGCTTCCCCTTACAGACTTCACTGGTGGGATTTTAGCAGCTTCTTACCTTCTGGATGGCTCCATTTACTTGTTTTCAAAAGAGGATGCTTTTGCAGCTGGTGTCTTTTCTTTTACAGAAGAACTTTTGGATACATTAGCTACAGAAGCAATACTAGTAGAAGACAAATGTCTTCTCAAAGGACCAGGACTAAAAGATGCTCCTAGCTTTTGATCCACAGCAACAAGGTTAAAGTATTCAGGTTTTCTTGGCTGCCTTGGGTTTAAACCAGTACTTGGCCTAGCTTTCATTGACTTTCGGACATTTAACAGAGGTTTGCAACTACTAGAAGAAAATCGGATTTTACTAGAAGCCAAGCCTACTGTTGGGAGTAAGGGAGAGGGGAGGAAAAAAAGAAAGAAAACTTTAGAATATCAGCTTGAAAATCATAAGGAATTCAGAAGTGCAATATATTTATTCTCAGTGTTAGTAAACACATCTCCTACATTTAAAAAAATCATAACTATGTGAAGAATGAATCCAAGAAGGGGTCACAACACCAGCAAGATGTCTAATCCACATTTTCTACAAGCCACATTAACCCTTCATCCTCCCCCAAAGAAAGGAATTATATGCCAGATACTGAGTAATTACAGATAAAGAGATGAGAGATGTGCAAAGTTAAAAAACAAACAAACATTTGAATTAATACTTATTGTTGTTTAGTTGTTTTCGGTCATGTCTGACTCTTCATGATTCCATTTGGGGTTTTCTTGGCAAAGATAGTGAAGAGGTTTGCCATTTCCTTCTCCAGCTCATTTTACAGATAAAGAAATGGAGGTAAACAGGGTTAAGTGACTGTCCCAGGGTCACATAGCCAGGAAATGTCTGAGGCTAGATTTGAACTCAGGAAGATGAGTTTTCCTGATGTCAGGCCCAGCGAGCTATTCACTGTGTCACCTAGCTGCCCCAAATTAATACTAAAGAACTTTAAATACTTGCTTGAAATGTTTCATTTGCTTAAGGCCCTACCCACATTGGCCTCCATGAATCTAGGGCAGCTAATGTAAGCAAAGTCTCAAATTAGTACCTGAGGCCCAGTTTTAGGGTGGGGACCCTGGTGACTACAGTGACTCTGCCCAACTTGGCAGAAATCAGGTTTAGATCACCATCTTTCAATGTATACCACAATACCTTCAAAATGGATATAAAACCTAAATATAAAAAGCCACATCATAAAAAAAAATTGAAGTAATTAGGTATGTTTCACAGGTATGGCTGTGGTCAAACAAGGGATACGGGTAACCACAAAAGATGAAACAGATAATTTCAATTAAATGAAATTCATACCTTTTTGCACCAAAAACAAACAAAGAAAAAAAAAAAAACAAAGGAACTAGGATAAGAAGGAAAGCAGTTGACTGGGGGAAAAAAATCACTGCATCAAATGAGACTCTGATATCCAAGATTTATAGGGAACTAATACTAATTCTGAGTCATCCCCCAATGAAGAAGTATTCAAAAGGTAGAAAAAAATCAAAACAAAAATTGCAAACTATTAGCAAATGCATTAAATATTTGCCACAGATTACTAACAAAAGAAAGTGGTCAGTGTTGGAGGGGTTGTGGAAAGATATGAAGCATGTCAATAAAGCTATGAAGTGGTCCAACTATTCCAGAAGGAGATATAGAACTGAGTCATCAGACAGTGACTAAAATGTCCATACTCTGATCTGGAGGTCTCATTGCTAGGAATAAACCCCACAGAGGTAAAAAAATACTCAGTCAATAAACATTTATTAAGTACCTGCTATATTTTAGGCACTGTGCTAAGCAATGGGGATACAAATAGAGGCAAAAGACAGTCCCTGCCATCAAGAAACTCACAGTCTAATGAGGGAGACAATAAGAAAGCAAATATGCACAAATTATATACAGTATGGGATAAATATGAAATAATTAAGAGGGAAGGCACTAGAATTAAGAAGGATTGAGAAAGGCTTCCTGTGAAA